CTATTTTGAAACTAAATCGCAAATAATCCAAAAAACATTAGACATTTCCAACTTTTTTGGACTTAAAATAAAGCAATAAGTCAGCTATTCATTCATGAAATCTCGAGACTTAGTAACCAAGATCCTTCTTGCTATTTCTTCTCTATTTGTGGTATGGGCAACTGGGCATAGCATTTTCTTGATCTAATTTGAATTGGAAGCACAAAAGATAGAAAGTAGCGAAGTAAATATTTTCATAGGAAAGATTAGACCGATGAATGCTTAAGAATTCGTAAGCATAAAACAAAATGTAGTGAAGAATATAGTCAGATGAATGCACAGCGGTAATATCAGTGAGAAGAAAAAAATTATAAATAATTTTCAAAACAAAGACAATTTTACCAATAAAAGTATTATATATCGAGCAACGGTATCTACAACATCATGAAATTCCATGCCAACAGCATTAGTCATTATGCACAAACAACGAATCAAACCACTACTATTAGTTAATACACCAAAACTGATTATATACGGAGATGGACAACAAAATATGGTGCAACATATGCAAGAAGATTACGAGAGCACTGATGTAAGTCGTTGATAGGTTATACTCACATGAGGTATGTCCGCTCGGAAAACTTTTATGACCTTCTTTTATGATACTACTCACTCCAGTACACATGACATCCCCCGTCACATTATGAAACACCTATCCACCAAAAATGCACAAGTACCGTCACGAAACATTGGTTGTGATAAAACGACAGTCGAAAAGCTGATTTGCAAAAGAATACTTAAGAGGCAACCATATCAACAGAAACTCACCCCTTTACCATCAGGGAAGCAGCGCCAAAAGAAGTCTGGTCGAGGTCGACCAACAGCATCTTTAATTGCATCAGTAAGAACACCAGATATAAGCACCGAAAAGAGCAGGCCTGACAATTATACGCAATACAATCAATATTACACAATTGTATATATTCGTGCAGTTAAAAAGGTAAAGGGAAAGGATCAACGAGAAAGAGTGAGTCATGCCTAACGCAGCTTGGTGTAAATCATAGACATCTCGTCGTATGAAGTAGAAGACGACGATGACAATGAAAGGCAATATGATTGCAATTATCTGCCATAAATTATATACAGGCAATTAGTTACTAGGCAGGGCTTCAACAAAATTAATTCACACACATAACATACCGGAACAGCCCAAAACGGAATAGTGTTGTCTTGCAAAGGGTATTTCAGGTCTGTCATCATATCTTCTCCAACAAACCGGTGAAATGGTTCAATCACATTAAGAACGACCTCTATCACCACAAGCAGCAAAAGAATAAGCCAATCATGCATGTGAAACCTGGCTACTTGGTATCCATGAGACCTTATGGTGTGGGAACCCAATTGAATCTCGGATGGCATTTTTGTACACCTAGAAATAAAATTACGTGTTAATTAAATCGTAACTGGTAATCAGTTGGAAGCTAAAAAAAATGTAATACAACAAACGAGTACATCTCCTCTTTTATCCATTGAGAAGAAAACAAAAACACTATCATAATACCAAAATCACAAATGAATTGTTCATGCATACCGCATACGAAAGTAAAGTTGGCAAATAGTGTGCATTGTGGTAACTATTTTAACTGAAAATTCCTGCAGCACAAAGTGAACGAATGTACGCTTGCTATATCAAACACCAACAAACTCCTCAGATTACTAACTTGTGATTTACTATATAGATTACAGCAGATACAATTCATATGTTAAATAACAGAACACCTATGCTTTTTTTATATATTTCGATTAATTGAGTCCGTTCGGATTTCCGATTCGAGACCTAATCGAACAAACTGAAACGAAACAAGTTTACATATTCAAATTCCCTGCAACCACGATGAACTGCACTCAAAACAAGCTTTTTGAGCAAACACGAAAAACGACAGCAGCACAATTATCATGGCCAATGAAGAAATCGTCTCTAAAACGCGGGAAAAGCTGAGTAATCAGAAATGTAAAAACGAATGCAACCAACAAATACATTCCTCAAACAGGAAATTAAACCTATAATTATTTCAAACAGAAGAAAACATTACGGCAATACTACAAGATCAAAAAAAAAATGGAGCCGCGGTGTGAAAATCACCTGAAGAGAACGGAATGTCTGCAACTGCGCGTTAGAGAGAGAGAGAGAGAGAGAGAGAGAGAGAGATTCTCCAAAAATTCAAATAATCGGAAAAAAATATATGGAAAAAACAGAGAGGAGTGGTTTCTTCACCAAATTCACTAAGCCATTTGCAGTACTTTAATTGTTTATCCAAATTAATTTCAGGGGCCGATTTTTCGAATTTAAAACTCCAAAGGCGTGTGTGTGTGTGAGAGTTAGAGAGAGAAAGAAGAGGGAGAAGGTGGCGGATTCTTCTTTTTGTGAAAAAAAGAGAAAGCAAGCAACCACAGTCAAGATGTACTGACCTTTGGATAAAGAACCGATTAACCTTTTTTTTATTATTTATTTATTAAATTCATTCTCTTGAGATATGTACAAATAATTGTTATTTAGTATTATCATAAATCATTTTTGTTTTATGTTGAATATCGCAAAAATAACATCTTGATTTGGTCCGTAGGTCTTCGTCTTCCTCAAGCCAGCTTCGTCCGTACTCCGGTGGACAGACCTGCAACGCCGGGAGGGGTTCCCGGCGGGAAAGCTCCGACGATCAAGTCAGTGATCGAAATTAAGGGAGAGACGTGTATGTAATGTAATAGTAATAAGTGTATATTCTCGTGTGTGTGTGTGTGTTGATTCTCTTATTTATAGATGAGGAAAGCTTGGCCTCCAAGGCTTTCCTTTTTTAGGGTTTCTCTTTTCCCCCAAGTCATATATCTTGGGCCTGTATTGTCCTGGGCTCGCCTTACCCCGTTTTGGTATTGGGCTGGCGAGTTAAGGTACTCCCACGTGGTTCCGAGGTTCGCGCCATACGACGACCTCGCTCATAATACCGAGCTAAGTCGTCATGGATTCTTCGTTGTGGGCCTATCATGTTGGGCTTACC